GCTGACATTTTTGCTCGTCACCCATATATTATTTCACAAATACATATCCAATTGTAACGGGTTTTGCAATTTTAATGTTATTATTGCTAGAACCTTAGATAAGGGTGTGGGGTAACCCGGATTTATTTGAAGTCTACAGACCAGGGCAAGAGAGAGAAACGTTCACACCAAGGATGCTTCAATAAAAGGGAATTTATTGGCTAAATATCAAACTACTCTTGGACTACATTCAATGATAGACAACAGAAAATAAAACAAAACAAAAAAATGGATAATAAAAGTCAAAAGGACAAAATAGCTCGAGTAAAGTGATTCACAGTTAAGTCGTATGAGGCAGTGTGGTTCTTGCGAAGCCGCTCGACTTGAAAAAACCTCTAGAGAATTAACCTAACTATGGACAGGAATAACTATATGGCTGGATGTACTATTAAAAGTTCTCTTATTAAATAAATCAGTGTCAGGGCCCTGACTGAAAATTGATGGAACCAGCTTATGTTGGAATCGGGGGGTAGACTTCAGGAGGGGTCGTCTCAGGACGGACTAGATCGAAGGCTGGAGCTCACGCTGGAGCTCACGCGCATCTCCTCGCTGGTCGTGGACACTGCATCTCCGTGCGGGCACGTGCCCTTTCCGTCAGTGATTGGGTGGAGGCGTCTCGTGGCTGTCTGAGGGTGGAGCTTGGTCAGCCTTTCAATGGTCAATCTGCTCACAAATTAGTGCATGGCTCTGAGACTAATTTAACTAACTACCTCTCTTTAGCAGAGTCTAAAGTTATGGATATATTCTCCCTGGCCAGACAAGAAATATCCACCTTCCTTCTCTGAGGGTGGTTTAAACTTAAGGTGTGTAGACGAACTGACAATTTATAAAACAAAGGTTTCAGATCTTAAAATTTAGCGTCCTAATACTTCTGACCTGTCTTTCTGACCAAGGCCGGCACAAACTTAGACATTTAGCTATGTTCTTGTTGAGAACGCAGGACTCCCCAAAATTTGCAGTGCACTCCAGTTTTGCTCGGCTGGAGGCCCTACCCTTTGGAGGTGGAGCCAGAGTGCTGATAGGTTCTCCTCACCTAACGGTTAACTAGCCATTCATTGTTTCCACTTCTGATTGGTTGTGCGTAATTTTAGGAATGCCTTCCCCAGAATCACTGCTTCCTTTGTTTCAGCTAGTTTAAACAAGGAAAAAGAAACATTTCTATATCATCAAATTGGTTTAACTTTTAAAATCAAGGAATGAACAACTAGGATATTCAGGCATGTTTCTACGAGAGAGTTTAACCCTTGTTACCTGATACACAACACATGTTAAAGAACACAGGTAAGGTTTGCCTGTAATATCTGACTATGACCCAAAGCATGAAGAAATAAAACCTACAATGAAAGAAAAGGAACAAAAGAAAAGAAAAGAAAAGAAAAGAAAACCACATTCAGGATACATATAAATGTTGATAATCAAGCAGACAAAGCCAGAAGTTTCCCTGGGTTCTTTATAAGCACATGTCCTTATGGTGGTGGTGTGTTTTGCTTCATTCTCACCACTTGGGGGTGCTGTGGCCCTATATCTAAATTGTCAATAAACTCTAAAAAGGCTAACTTTGTTATAGATTCTCATAACAACCTCGTTCTTGAAATGTACCCCGTTGAATGGTGGCCGTTCTGTATTGGTGCACACATTAGAAACTTAATTTCTTGTAATTCACAAGTTTAATTAGAAGTTTGGTGAGGCCTGTAGCTGGATTCCAGGCAAAGATTTATAGCTGCCTGGTATGCCTTATGGAGCAAAGGGGGTTGCTAACCTCCCATAGTGTCCAGTTTTGTCCTTTTACGTCCTTTTAAGCTGTAAAATCTGTTGGCAACTTAATCCTGTTTTATGGCTTCTACCTCAGGCTTGGTGGAGCCAAAGCTTTCAGCTCGGGTAATAGGAGTGACTTCTCTCAACCAGATGTTGGTCTTTTGCTACACAATATAAAATTCTTTTATTACAAAGTTTAGTCAAATCAGAAGCACCATATATGTTTTTCCTAGTACACTGTAAAAAAGTATTTTTCTGACAGTGGGGGCACCAGAAAATGTCTGTAAAAAACTTTAAAATACTGTCAGATTAAAAACAGATAAACTGTAAAACACTGTAATAACTGTAATTAACATCTATTACTGTAATTTTACAAGAAATCTTTCTATAATTCCATATAATCTTTCACTTGTAAAAATATTAATTGTTAGAATACAGTCATACACCTCTAAAAAAATTATCTTTACAAAATGATAAAGAAAAGTACAGATAATTACTACTGCTATCACAAAAAGTTCTGTAAATCTAAGAACATTTACACACAAAACACAAAAACATGTAATTTTACTTTGTGAAAGCCCAAGTTTAAATGATCTGAAATGATAAGAAATGTTGCAAAAAACATCAAGCTTTTTTTTTTTCATTTAAAATACAGTATTAAACTGTCAAAATGATTTAATCGTTTTAGTATTTTCTTTCTTTAAATCTAAGTTAACTGTACTTTTATGTCATTCTTCATTTAAATATATAAGCTGCAGAAAAGAGAATTTTAATTGAAATAAAGGTTCTGTTCAGGTACATTTTTCATTCATCAAGGTACAAACAGTGTAAGTGTTCCCTCAAAGGTTCTACAGTGGTTTTAAGGTCTGATTGTGAACCTTAAATAAGTGTTTCCAGGTGAAAAGTTTGTATTTGTACCTTTTTATAACCGAATGTTTTAAAACAGAACAGTAAAATAAAAGCCTGGAGACGAGACGGGGTGTGTGGAGTCAGTACAGCTTAGAACATATCATTTCAGTGGATTATGGTACAGTTATGCTCCCTGACTAAAGGTACTGAGATGGACCCTTGAGGGTCCCACCCCAGTGACAGGAGGGGCACTGACCCAGTGACAGTTCAGTACCTTTATTTCTGAGAGTATAGATAAACTGCATAATACTTTAAAATCACTGTGAAATATAGTAAAACTTTACAGCAAAAAAATCTTACACAGATTAGGTAATTAAAACTTTATAACTGTAGCAATATTTTGAAAATATTTCACAATATGAACTATAAATTTGGCTTAAACAAACCAGCTACTTCTTCTAAAAATGAAGCAGTATGATGCTGGTGAGGTCGCTAGGCAGTAGAATTACTATGAAAAGTAGCGAGTACTTTTAATAGTTTCTTATTTTAATAATACATAGTGATCCAGACACTCCGTACATTATCATTATTATTATGGAGCTACTGTATACTGTTTTTTTTTTCTGAGTGCCTCCTAACAGTCCTCTCAACACTCCACACATCACAGTTCATGATCTGATACTCCACAGAGAACATGGTGCTCAAGTGAAAACCCAGACGTCCTGCTCGCTGCTCAGGCTGCTGAGTTCAGACACTGGAGAAACAGTGAAGCACATCTTTAATATGAAAGTAAAATAATATGACACAAGAGGCTGATCACATTTCAGTGCCCTTCTTTTCATTGTTTTACATTTATAAACACAATGAGTAAAGCATGAAGGCTGAGTCAGACAGGCGGTTCTTCCACTGCAGTAAGGTTCATAATGTCTTACTGTTTATCTCCCCCTACTGGTGAAGTGTGTAATAAAGCCTGATAAAACACATTCATGCTGCACTGCTGTTCACTATCAGAATCACTTTCATTCAGCATCATCAGCTGTGCAGCAGAGTTTGGAACATCTGGTTTAAAAACTCAGAACGTCTACATTCAGGTCAATCACAGAAGAAGAATGTAGAAGAAACACAATATGATGATATTTATCATGATGAGTTTTATTATTGTGATAAACAATATGCTTTTCTCATCCGTAATGAAAGAACACTGACCAGCTGCATGTTTCATCATAAAGAGGGCATAATCAGTTATGTTTAACTGGCTTTAGAGCAGTGCACTGTGGGAAACGTTGACTATAATTTATTGTATCCTGAGGTTTTGGTGTTTGTTTTAAAATATAACATTAATGTATTGTGTGTGTCGAAATACTGTTATACATATGGTGTATTTTAAAAATGTCTTTAACCTATTAACTTTTGTCCCTTTTCCCAAGTTTTTGCCTGTAATGGCATATCCAATCTAAAAGGGGGCCACATGCACTGCACTACTGTCATGATCTTGTTCTTAGAACGGTGACAGGTTTTTCCCCCACAGTCAGAATAATTTTATGAATTATTGTCACAGAGTGACAGAGGCTAGAATGGAGGAGTTCATTTTTTCCTGACTCATAAATCTCTAAACTGATCAGTGATTATTCCACAGCACGGCCCGCATTTTACAGATTGGATAGCGTTTGTTCATTCAGTGCTTATGTTACTAATAAGACGATCATAACTTCTGTGAATAACAGAACATGAACAAGATTTCATGCTTGCTCGTTGACGTTACAGTGATACAGAAGAGGTTAAGTATCGTGATATGATATTGCTCACCCTCTGGTTTATGGTAGCAGAAATACACACAGCACAGCAGTTTGTAAGCGCAGTGTGAGCAGCTTGGACAGTCCATCATTTGTGATGTTACGTCTGAGTCACACAAGCTATCAGTGTGACTGATACAGCTGCACACACTGGCCTTTCATACATACAGCAGCTCTACAGCTCTACAGTCATCCTTTATCCAGATGGATAAACAGTCAAATAAATAAAATAAAAATATTGATAAAAATTAATAAAAATATAATTCATAAGAGAGCAGGTACTGTTTACCATCG